GGGTGCCGTCAGCCAGACAGTGCCGGCTGGCGACCCCCAGGGGGAGGGCCTTCTCGGTGGGAGCTCCCACCCTCTGGAACGAACTACCCCCAGAGATCCGGGTGATCCTGGATCTCCCTTCCTTCCGCCGCGCCCTTAAGACATGGCTATTTCAACTAGCAGGACTGGCCTAAGGGGTAATTTTTAGCGGGGTTTTAAATATAATTTTAATTTTAAAATAACAAAGGCCAATCTAATATTTCCTTTTAATTATGTTTTAATGATAGTATTTTGGTATTTTTTGTATTTGTTTTTATCAGGCTGTTAGCCGCCCTGAGTCCGCAAGGAGAAGGGCGGGGTAAAAATCCAATAAATAAATAAAAATAAATAAATAAATAAATTGGTTGGAAAAGAGTTCATCTATTTTTTCTGATTGGTTGGGTGGCCTGTAATATACACCTATGGCAATGTCACTTTTTTCTCTTTTATATTGACCCATATACATTCTGGAAAGATTTTATCTTTGATCATGTGCATTTTTGTAGATATGTAGTGTTCTCTTACATATAGTGCAACTCCCTCTCCTCTTTTTGTAGATCTATTTCTTTTGAACAATTTGTATCCATCCATCCTTGTTTGCTATAGTTGATTTTACATCTCTATTTGAGCTCTGGTGCTTAAGCAACAGTCCTTTCCTGCTTTTGTCAGATTACTCAAGTCTTAGTTGATACCAAATCCAGAAGTTGTATAGGCAATGAGTCATGGACACAGATCTAATTAAGTAAGTTTATTGCAAGAAGAAAGAATTCCAGCAACTGCCAGGTTCAAAATGCCAGCCATAATTATTGTTAATTCAAATTTGAATATTTGCACATGCTTGAGGTTTCCTACTTCTGGCAGAATGAGAAATTTCCACCTATTCCTTGTTCTATAAATCTGTTTTTGGCTGTTTGCTCCTAATCTTGCTGGAATTAACACTCTCATTATCATGTGTAGAGAGAGAAGCTTCTTCCTGCTATTCCTGATAAGGTGAAACCAGGCTTAATTTCTGCTTAACTATCTATGACTTCTGAACTTCTGGTAGAGTTCAGCAACTAAAACACAGTGAACATTTGCTACTCTAACAATTGTTAAGGAGAAAATGGTGGAAAATGTTCACTGGGTCCTATCCATAGTGAAATGTTATTTATTCTGTTAAGCAACAGAATAGACACAGAATCTGCTAGCATCTTCAAGACCAACCTTTATATTTACATTTGTCCTGGGATGTAGACCTGGGATGTAATTCTGTTTTTAAAATACAGAATACTGGGAAGAAGCTACTTTTTACAGTCTCTTCCACAAATTAATTTTAAAATTAATGGAAGCTATTAAAGGAGTTCTCCAAACTGTAAGCTGGAGCCTATGAAAAAAACCACTTGATAGTAGCTAAAGTCCTCAACTTCTTTCCTAGAATAACTCTGTGTCCCAAGTGGATCACATAAACTTGATTGGTTGATTGTAAAAAAAAAAAAAAAAGACGATGACAATGGTTAGCCAGAGTGTCATGGAGATTTCTTTTAAGCTTTTTATAGTATGGTAAGATAGCCTACCTTTCATTTCAAATACTTACTGAATCATGATTTCCACTAGAGAATACCTTCCCAGTTACTCTGAAAAGAAACTACAAGGGGGAGGGATGGAAAGCCTCAGGAGTGGAGTGTATGTGATGTTTCAGGGTGTGGAATTAGGATCAGTTGAGTGCTTTTATTATTTTTACAAATAACACAAGGTAATGAACATAATTAATACACCTTCCTTCTTGTATTTTCCCACAACAACAACCCTGTGAGGTGAATTGGGCTGAGAGAGAATGACTGGTCCAAGGTCATCCAGCTGGCTTTCATGGCTAAGGCGGGACTTGAACTCATGGTGTCCTGCTTTCTATCCTGGCACCTTAAACACTAGACCAAACTGTTCCCATTCAAATACAAAACTTGCCTGAATGCCTTTGGGCCAATTACTAGTCTGCAACCTAACTTACTTCACAAGGTGTTGTGCATTGTTTTGTCAGATGAGAAAACAGGAGGTAAATGAAACTGCCTAATATAGAATAGACCAGGGGTCCCCAACCCCTGGTATGTGGACCAGTACCGGGCCGTGGCATGCCAGCAACCGGTCCACACAAACAAGCAATGCCCCATCCGCGGGATGCAGGCAGCACACAAAACCATGCACTCTCTGGTCCGCGGAAAAACCTCTGTCCATGGAACCAGTCCCTGGTGCCCAAAAGGTTGGGGACCTCTGGAATAGGCCATGCAAAAAAGTGTGTTATATTTATTAATTAGATATTTTCCTGAAAAAGTTTTAAGCTTTGTAGTGATCCTTCTGAAAGGCAATAGTGTTAACAAAACATATATTGTCTAAGCAACACAATTGAAAGTAGAATGAGTACTTTTACTGCCCTAGAATTTTTAAAAATTGCTCAATCTTCTGACTGGCCTTGCCAAGTTGTATCTCTTAGTTGAGAAGAATTACTGAGTAGAATGAGGAGCAAACAGATTAATCCCAGATTTCCAGAAAATTAGCTTTGTTAAACATTTTTGTTGTGACTTAATCATGAAGATGCCGAAGGTATGCAAAGTTTAAAGGTGAAAAAAGAACAAGGGTAATGCTTGAAACGAATCATGGAAAGCTTACCCTGAGGTAGTTGAGGGTGAAGTTAGTCAGACCCATGCGAGTGATGTTTTTGGACAACTGCTCCAAAATCTGAGGGTCTTGTGCCTGTACCAAAACAATAGATATATTTTTTTTATGTTTTGATGAGAGACATGCAATACTTAAACACAGATTGCAGATGATCAAACTCTTCGGGATTATTATATTAAAGACAAATGATACCAAGGTATCAGAATAGTCAAAATGGTGGCTTCGATCATAGTTGGTATCTTGAGGGGTTTTAAATAATCTGTCTGAAGCAGTTAAGCTGTTTTATCCTTAGAAGAGCCATGTTCTCACTATATGTTACCACAGCACTAAAAGAGCAAGGAGGCTGAGGTAATCCATTTTTGACATCTTCCTGAGGAAAATACTGCTTTGAGCCAGGGCCTAATCCTAATGTAAAGTTAAAGGATGAAGGTTTTATAAAGGCCAGATTTTAACTTGATCTAATTTAGTTCATAGCTTAGGACATTGACAAGCTAATGAATTCACATTATTCTTTTGGGTACTCTCCCATTGTCTTCAGGGTTTCTTAGACAATGTCTTAGCACAGCAATTTGGTTTGGTGGTTAATGGCTTCAGTCTTGAAACCAGAAGAGCACAAAGCCCACTGGGTGACCTTGGGCCAGTCCTTCTTACTCAGCCCTAGGAAAAAGGCACTTCTGAAAATGCTGGCAAGAAAATTTCAGAGATTTGTCCAGGCAGTCACTAGAAATCAAGATTGATTTGATAGGACCAATAAATACATTTTTTAAAATGCAGAACAGTTAAAAGAAATGGAAATGAATGTATAAATGTATATGTTAGGCTTATAATTACCAAGGAAAATATGACAAAAATATCTCCTTAATTGGTATGGTGAACAAACAAATTTGTGCGACTATCACAAAACCGGTTTGTGTGACTGATAGGAAATTCCTAAAGAAGCAGGAACCATGGAGTTAGCAAAACAGTAATAATGCACCTTGTTCTGATGCTGATAAAACTCAATTGCACTTATGGCTCAGGTGAATTTACTGCACTTCCAACTATTCCTGGCAATTGTTGATGTACCTTTTGATTTAATTATTTATATTGACTGAAATATTTATATTGGCATGTAAATATGCAGTTCACAAAACAAATTAAAAAAAGACACACAAGCCATTTCCACCCCTCTGCAAAAAAACACTATCCAGTAATACAAAGAGAAAAGAATGGAGTATCAGCTGTTATGTGTACAAACCACTAGTAATTAAAAGCAGAACTAACACTTGATGGCCTGTTTAAAACTAAAGCCAACTTACTGAAAAGGTCAAAGATGTGTAGAATTCAACACAATGCACAGAATGTTCTGGTGTTTCATGAAATGTTTATTTTTGGACCTGGTGCATCAACCAATGGTTCTAGAATTTAAATTTCTAGAATAGGAAATTCCTGATATGATCCACCTTGACCCAGAAAAGCCAAAGAGCCATTTGGAGAAAGCAAAAAAATTATGCTGGAGAACAGTGAAATATCTATGCCTGTAATGCTAAGTTCTAGGCTAAGTAGAGGAGATGACTATTTTTAAAATAAATAAATAAAAGTGGATTCAATACTCTTTCTGTTGGGAAAGGATTGTGAAGATAACTATCCACTGAAAAGTCCTTGCTCTTCTATGTATTATTTAACAAATCTTGAGGATGAACCTGAGAGCAGGATTTTGTAGCTGACCTTCCTGGCTAACAAGTGGCTTGTTCTAACATTCAGTAAACCTGAATGTGTGCAAGTATGGCACTGAATGTGCCTCTAATTTTATATTTCAAAAAGCAATGTATTAAGTGAAATTTTGGAGATATCAATCTAACGCTCTAGTTGAATAATTGAATAATAATAAAGGCAATCCCACTTTTAAGATTTTCCCCTACAACCTAAGATACATTTCCTGGGACAACAAATTATGGCTTTGATGACCTCCAAAAGTTTTAGAAAGCAATTCAGGCTGAGTACTTACATGCATGGCTAAAATACTGCGAGGGACAAGTTCTCTGTATTGTCTAATTGTAAAGTGCCATGTTTTTATTCTCATAAGGTCATCAAAAGTAAATTCCAAGATCAGACGTCCTTCTGTGCATACCTACAAGCATAAAGGGCAACAAAAATGTAAATAGATTTACTAGGATATTTTATATTTTTGAAAACTTTTTCAAATGTCGATAGATTTTGCTGTTTGACTTCATTAGCGCAATTGTATCCTTTCCTGAGCAAAGAAGAATTAAGAGAAAGCAATTCAATTGGTAGCAGTTGATCAAGCTGTAGATTTTATAGCTGTGAGTGCTCAAATCTTGTTTATCTCTTCTTTCTCTCTGAAACTGCTGTTTGTAATTAACAATACTAAGTGTGTTAGTCTGAGTGTGATTAGGAATAGTGCATTCAGGATAGCTGATTTTTGAAATAGATGACGTCTTTGCATCTATATAGGCATATGATATTAATAGGTGAAATACAACTAATTATTCAACTGATTTCAGTACAGACATATCTCACAGGTGTTAATATTTATCCCATTTCATTTACTGTAGCTTTCTTCTCTTTGCTTTTAGACTTTTTCTTTGGTTTTGTTCTGCGTTCCTCCAGTCAGCATACCAGCCATTAAAACATGCAAGTCATCCATTAATATTAATTTAAATAAGGATTAACTTCCTCTGCCTCTACTGGGATGAGATACCTTTTTCCTGTTGAACTTATTTAGTGAGCTACAGACAAAGTTTAAAAACAGAGTGAGGTAATACCAGAAAGGGGGGAAAAGAACCCTCAACCCATTTTAAATTGCCACCCTTCAGTGCTCCAAACTGCTACATCAATTTAAAAAGAGCATTGTTGTCTTCAACCAATGCTTCAGAGGTTCAAGCAGGACAATGGGTTTTTTAAAAAAATAAGCAAACAATTCAGCTGAGGGCCATATTTGTTTGAAAGAAAAAGGCATAAAGGCAAAAAAGCACTGCAGAATCAAAGGTTGCAAACTTCTGTTTTAATTATCTTTAGTCCTCTTCGTTTAAACTCCTCTAAGCAAACACTGAAGGACAGTAGACATGTTAGGCTGGAATTCTGAGATTGCAAGAACATTAAAGCCAAGTATAATTAATATGAATTGTGGATTTCAGGAAAACAATTCCTGCTAACTTGGATTCCATGGGAAAGAAGCCAATAGGTAAATGAGCTTGGTTAGGAAGTATTTAAAAAGGAAAAATTAAAGACTTCTCTGCAAACAATTCCAAAATTGGATTTTTTAAGGTAATAAAGAAAGAAGGCAGCAGTCCCTGTGTCTGCACAATAAGCTCAGAGAAAAATGTGAAAACAAAAGGGAAAATGAATAGGTGAGAGAAAGAAGATAAGTCATCAAGAAGAAATACACACAATTAGCCCAGCAATGTAGCAAGGATGTCACAAATGTGAAAGCTCAGAAAGAATGCAATTTGGTGAATAGTGCTAAAAGTAGTATCCTTTGTATCTATTGAAAATAAAAGGAAAATAATCAGTATGCCAGTTGCTCAATGAAGAAAGCAATGCCCTAACAGTAAGAAAGAAAAGACAGAGCTGCTCAAGTCATGTTGATTTGCTCTTCTGTAACAAAAAGTATGCATTCCATCAAGGTCAATGTGGAGCAGGAGGAAGGGGTAGAGATGATGTTTGAGAATGACTGAAACATGTCAATTTATTTTGCATGAATTCTAATCTCCATACCCTATGAATTGCATTCCAGCCCACTAAAAGAATTTGTTGTTGGCCTGACGGAATATCTAGGTCTTATCTCTAAGACACACTGCAGAATGAGGAAAAGAAAGATCAGGGAACTTCAAATAAGTGACACTTATCATAACTTAGTATGGATTTGTTAAGATTCATTTTTGACAATACTTGTTCTTATCTTGTTTTTTAAATGACTTAAATGCTTGGCTGAAACCAGGTTATATTATGTTTACAGTATGTCTGCAATCTTACAGCATATCTTGGACTTCAGTAAGGAATTTAGATCACAATCTATTACTTGATAAGATGGAAAAATGTAGGTTAGACAGCATCACCACCATATGGATTTATAACTGGCTAACCAATCAGACTCGATGTGTAGTCCTCAATGGAACTGCATCTACATGGAGGTAAGTTTGCAATGGGGTACCCCAAGGCTCTGACTTAGGCCCAATACTCTTCAATATCCTTATCAATGATTTGGATGACAGAGTAGACAGGGAACTCATCAAATTTGCAGATGACACCAAGCTGGCAGTAATAGCCAACACTCCAGAAGATAGGCTTAAGATATAAGAAGGATCTTGACAAGCATGAACATTGGGCCCTATCTAGAAGAAATGAAATCCAATGCTGAAAAAAGTAAGATTCTACCTTTAGGCAAGAAAAAACTAATGCACCGGTATAGTAAAGGTGGTACCTGGCTCAATAATAGTAACTGTGACAGGGATCTCAGAGTCTTAGTGGAAAATCACTTACATATGAGCCAGCAGTGTGCTGCAACTGACAAAAAAGCCAATGCAGTCCTAGGTTGCATTAATAGAGGGATAGAATCAAGATCATGCGAAGCATTAATGCCACTTTATAATGCCTTGATAAGACCACACTTGGAATACTGCATCTAGCTTTGGTTGCCACAATGTAATAAAAAAGATGTTGAGACTCTAGAAAGAGTGCAGAGAAGAGCAACAAAGATGCTTAGGGGACTGGAGTTTAAAACATGTAAGGAACAGTTGCTGGAATTGAGTATGTCGAGTTTAATGAAAAGAAGGACTAGAGGTGACATGATAGTGTTCCAATATTTAAGGGGTTGCCTCAAAGAAGAGGGAGCCAATCTATTCTCCAAAGCACTGAAGGCAGGACAAGAAGCAATGGATGGAAACTAATCAAGGAGAGAAGAAATGAGAAATTTCCTGACAGAACAATTAATCAGTGGAATAGCTTGCCTCCAGAAATTGTGAATGCTCCAACACTGGAAGTTTTTAAGAACAGATTGGACAACCATTTGTCTCTGTTATTCTGTTATCTACTATTTCTTAGTAGAAATAGCAGGTTGTGGACATGCTGCAAAAATAATGTGCCTTGGTTTCAGCTGAACAATTGGCTACAATATGATATTCTTATTGGCAAGCTAGAGGGCATGATAATTAAATGATATATGTTGATATCTTAAAAATATCTCAAAAAACATACATCAGTGATATGAACAGAAAGAATGGGCAAACAACTCTATAGAGAAAAGAAGGAAAATAAAGTTTCAAATACTTATTTGAAAAACAATTGTACCAAATGTTCAGCTGTAGGTCTCTAAAACTTATGTTTAACATTTTCATGGTAGGCAGGACAAAACTTGTCATCAAAACCTGCCAGGAGGCTACATTAAAAAAAATAGGATTTAGAAATTGAAATATCCTAAATGCATACACCTTTTCCATATTAATCAATTAAACCCAAGACAAATGCAATTAAAATGGAGAATCATAGAAAATTTTCACAAGTTGGCCTTTGGAAGAGAATAATTCAGTAAATTTCCAACCTTCAAAATTGTTGAATTATAAGTATCAGAGATAGAATATGGGACTAAGAGGCTGAACTATTTTGCTCAGCTTGAGAGTGTTCATTAAGCCGCAAACCAGTTTCCCAGAAAGAGCCAGTTTCTATCATCTAACTAGGAAGCATAATGATTTGCTTCCAATATGACTTGTTCCTCATAGACTAAATTGATGAGATAAACACTAAAACAAAAGGACATCCAGGTAACCCCCCCCCCCAATTCTTGATGAAATTCCCCCTTTATCCCCATTATGAAAGGTATACTGGGCTCTTCATAGAAACTGTAGGCATCCCAAGGAGTTCAAGGGATCTTTTCTACTGATAGTAAACAAGATAACCAAATAACTGCCAATAATTATTTTATGGATTTAGCAACCCATAAATATAAAAAATAATATACATTTATAGTCTGTTAAATCCCCAAAACAATTGTTGATGACAATAATTTGCGTAGGGACCACAATTTACTTCAGATCTGCATTTTAAAAGCTTCATGATATGCAAGGTAGTTATATACTGCAACAGTCTATCTGTTAAATAGCTAAAAGTGTAAACATACAGTAGTGACTAGAGGTTAGCAAGTGCCCCTTTCAAAACCATGACTTGAAAAAAAAGCTTCAAATTTTATTGGTGAACCTGCATCTTCAGATTAAACAATGGGTCAGGGGGATCCTCAGGGGCTCAAAACAGTCAAGTTGGTGGCCAAACAGTCAGGCCACAATGTGCCAAAAATGATCAAAACCCTGTGCTTTTTACATGTAGCACAATTGTACATAAAAAGAAGGCAGGCTTTGATTGTATGGTTATAGCCACCATTTTGCATTTTTGACCTCTTCATATGGATATCCCAGTGATATGGGTAAATCTGAAAGGCCCAGATTAAAGGCTCTGACATTTGGTCTGTAAATATTAAAGGGACTATTAGAGAACAGCAGAGGGTCTTCTGCATGTTTCTACTGTTCTCTAGTGGCGGCTGGTGGTTTTGTAGCACAGATCTGTTTGTAGTAGTTCTAGTCCTAATTCAGTACTAGGAGTTTGATATAAATATTCACTCTTAGTAAAACCAATGGTGGATCATGTCCACTGATATCCACCTCCATTAACTAGAGATGCAAACACCAGATTTTGCATCTGGCTTCGTGAACATTCTTCTTTGGGAAAAGCTGAGCACAGCAACCCCCAGTTTACAGCACACTTTATAAAGACATTTCCCTTTCCAATTTGCAGAAAACAAAACAAAACAAAACAAAAAACCCTAACTTACTTTCTAATCAATTAAGGCAAAATCTTATTTGAAGCTCTTCTCCCTAGCTACCCCTCCCAGCTGCCTTCCCCATAAAATCCGAAATGAAAAAGGTCTCCAATTAAGAAAACATTTTCAGTTGTGCTGAATTCACGTTCATGCACTATGAGCTCTGACATTCTGTTTCTATGGCAACCAAAACCAGCTGATTAGTTGGCATGGTAACAGAAAAGGTATAATCCTGCCAGACAGCCTCTAATCAATACCCCAAGTGCAAAGGCTCTCTAGAGGATCAACAAGAAAGGGCCCAT